ATCGTGTCGTCCAATTCAGTCTGTAATCATACTCGTGATTAACAAATCGGACTCCCGCTTCGCGGTCGTCCGATTCTGTTAATCACTCGTATGATTACAGACCGAATTGGACTCCACTCAGTCCTATTACCGTTATTAATTTATAATTTCACATGTGAAATTACAAAATTGTTGTTGGCTCGAAATTTCTCGGTACGTGTAATTTGTCACCCATGTGGTTAAAAGGTAATCAAATAGTATACTCGACCTGTGAAATTAAGAAATAATTTCACTTGAGTTTTGTCAAAATTCAAACAATTAATTTTTTTCAATTGTTATAATTTTGACAAAACGTGCGTAAAATTATTTTCTAATCTGACTCGTGACCATTTGATTAGCCATACTGACTTGTGGTCATTTGAAGTGTTGTCTTTCTTTTGTGTGTATTATTTCAGCTTGGTCTTTGTTTCTAGGTTTCGCCTGCGAGGACTGCTTGTTATTGTTGGTGTGTTGATGAGTATCAGTTTTATCACAACAGCAATCCTTGTTGCTCATTATGATATCGAGGAACCCGCAAGTCTAGCAGAACAGTAAGATGTACTTTTCTACCCTTGTAAAGGCCGCTCAAAACAGTTTCCAGCACTTAGATTTTGATGGGTCGTTATAACCACTCTTTATCACTTGATGCTACAATCATGGTATCAAAAACTGCCCAATCATCGATGAACACGTTGTTATCACTTTCGTAACGCAATAGGTTACCATAGCAACAGTATGACCTAAAACACCCTAAATTACAGTTTTAGGGGCTTATAATTCAAAAACATGGTGAAATTTTTTTGTATTATCAACTCTTGATGAGCATGATAAGACGCAACTGTTGGCAAAGTTTAAAAAAATTCTGTAGGTAGGGTTCATCGAAGCTTCTTTCACGTCAGTTGTTTTATTACTAATTTTACCATCGTTTTTGTTATCCAATGCCAGTGTTTAAGAATGTATAATTTATATTGCTCAGCATAAATTTTATCTTAGCGCCATAAGGAAGTCGTGAGCAATTGTGATATTTTATTGCAGGCCTCATGGTGTTAATGTCGGATCTCTCGCATATGAAAAGCCCTATTGTCGCATTGCTCCGTACCTTGTTGGCATGGTGTTGGGTTACATACTTATTCACTCAAAGGACTGGAGGCTACGCACCAAGGTAACAACATTGTTTAACTCCTTAGGTGCTTAGTACTGCATCTGATATCGATTAAAATTGTGTTTGCATGTGCTTAATGCGAGTGGTCCTTTCCTAAAATACCATTACATTTTTTGAAAGTGTAGGTTTAGTCTCATATTCATGAGCTTCTTGTGTCATGCAATAACTTCTCAATGCCAAAATGTGCGTACTTAGTACATTTAGCATGTCTGCAAAAGAAACTGTTCTCGTGCATATTTGGTATTCCCTGCTTTTGTCTTCTGTGAATAGTTTCCATTAGCCTCAAAGGCTGAAGTGAGTTTATAAGTTTAATTACAGAACACGCCACATCTAGGCCCAAGGGTCAGTGTATACTCTAAATTGCATTGCCAAGTGTACCACTTGAACAAAGAGATTAATTATCACGTCCAAGCTTGTCCAAATCTGCTCAAAAATAGTCTCATGCATTTAGAAAAATCCTATTATAGCTGGTAAGCTTCGTGGTAGGTCAACAGGTTGTCACCAATGACTAAAGTCAGTAGGAGCCACAAGTCATGAACCATACATAAGTTCTTAACTGCACATGTTGCGCTGATATTTTCAGAGTGGATTAAGCATTCTTAATAAGCTTTAGCATCATGAACATTTTATTTGAAGAAAACACATCTCCTGATGAATGTACAGTTTTTGTTTATGCTACTGGAGGGAGAGGGAACGTGAAGCAATTACTACACAGTAGCAATTGTAGACCTGTAGCACAGAAAATATCCTGCTACCGGTAGTACAACACAGAGGACACATAGGAAAGCCTGGAAAAAAAGATGTTGAATAGTCTTATTACCTGTCGAGAATATGCAGACAAGAAGAGACTGTTCTATTAGCACATAACCAACGAGTTTATTAGCAGCGTTAAAATGCTTATGCTGTAAACACATAAGCACCTGTCCATA